TTATTGTTATTTACCCATTATTGTGTTCTCCGTTAAATAAGAGAATTATTTCTCCTCAAACTACGTTATGAACAACTATTTCCTTTCCAATATCAGTCAGAAGCTGGAAAGAAGGTCCCATTCATGCTTGTCATTAATCTCCAGGTATGTGCAACCACCTACATTTATGGTTAAAGGCTGTTATTATTATTATTTTTTTAATCATTTTAAGCTTGGTTCTAGAGCAGCAAGACAACAAATATGCATAGTATATCTTTATTTTTGAGCATATTTGTGGGTATCAGACATTATAACCTCGAGAGTTGAGTAGAGTGGCAAAGAGGTTACTAGCTACAGTCAGGTTATGTAGCTCAATATATTTCGAAGGTTTGGAGCTTAATCTAGAGGTAGCTTGCATACTCCTTTTGATGATGAATTCAAACATATTGATGGTTAAATCTTTCCATTTCCCTATGAGATCCAATTGCGGCCCAGTTTATGTGTCACTATATAAATCCATTTGGCACAAGAGTTTTCCTGAGATCGAATTCTTCTTATTGTAGCTTAGGCACGAAGCGTGCATTAGCACCAATAATAGGGTGCAAAGAAGATTCATGCTCGGTTTATCTCCAAATAGATATGTCATGTGCGATATGGAGGAGGAATCTTAGGGTCACCTATTCCTATCTTGCTCTTTTGCTGCAAACACTCTTCCTACATCTTGGAGGCTTTCAATTGGTCTTATGTGTTTCTTAATATGTATGATCTCCCTGCCTTAACCTTCTGGAGCATCCACTGAAAATCAGAAAAGTATCCTACAGCTTTGATTGCTAGAGAGAAATACTTACTCCTTTGACGGCTCTATGGCATCTCTGGCTCCTTTATTAATCCAGTTCTATTGCTGGTGTATAGACATGCATCATTTTTGGATATTAGTCTACTCTCCCATGGCCTAACGGAAAAGGTTTTTGTACCCTTGAAAGCTAGGCATCCTTACCCTCCATTCTTGTAATATTTCATATATTAATGAAATATGTTTCTTCTAATAAATTAATAAGTGAAATAAAAGCAAAGCAATGAATAGATTTCACTCTTAATGATGTGATGTAGGGATATGCAAGAATGATGTTCGAGATATTTTATATACACTTTATCCTTACCTTTCCTTGTTCTCGGTTTTCCAATAAATAGAATGTCACTTTATCTGAGACGTGTAGTGCCATGTTCCTTCTTCTTATGTTTATTTCTGTTCAGGTTCCAGCCAAGCCGAACTATAGTATGGTTATGTATTATGCTGCTGATAGGCCTGTAAACAAAAGTTCTTTGTTGGGTAAATTTGTGGACGGCAGTGACATGTATCGAAATTCCAGATTTAAATTAATTCCCAGCATTGTCGAGGTATGGAAGCTTGACATCTTATATTTCTTGTTCTTGACACCATTGCAACTAATGATTAGTTAATCCAACAGGGATATTGGATGGTTAAGCGTGCAGTTGGAACAAAAGCTTGCCTTTTGGGTAAAGCAGTTACTTGCAAGTACCTCAGACGAGATAATTTTCTGGAAGTAAATAATTCTACCCCATCTTAAATAGCATGCATTGATAAGCAGGTGCAATTTTTGCCAGAGATGTTCTATGCTACTTAGACAGGCCAAGTTGAGTATCAGTTGTCTCCTCGTAAAACAAGTTTACATCAAGCTCAATAAAGTTTACGAGGAAAAATATTTACTTTTTGTATCATCTGTTTCACATTATTTACCTTTACTACTTCCAATGTCGAGTCCTCCTAGTTCTTGATTAGTAGATGATGTTAAAAATTCCAACCCCCAATACATTCTACTTGTGCTAGAAGCAATTCAGGTAGGATAACTGAATAAGTTTGTCATATGAGAGTGAGGAGAACGTTTTGTACGTGATTATGAGCCCATCTTGTAGTGATGGACGTACTAATCTGTTCTGGGGAGGCACTACTAGGAGTTTGTGCCTGTGTATAGGCATTCGGTTTAGTAATGCATTTTTGGGCTGGAGTTTTCTTCAGGAAGAGAGCACTAGACATCTTGAACTGCTCAAGTATTATAGCTTTGTTCTATTGTTCAATATCAGAGATCTTTTAAGCCATATCCGAGTGCAATGCATATTTTAAAATATGTTAAGTTATTTTACTAAATTTCTTCATAAATATCTTGCAGATTGATGTGGATATTGGATCGTCAACAGTAGCCAGGAGTGTTATTGGCCTTGTCCTTGGATATGTCACAAGCTTGGTCGTTGATCTCGCCATCCTAATAGAGGTTGTCACTTTGTGCTTAATGTGTTTCTATAATCATATTTCTGAATCCAATGTGCTTCTCTTCTGATGTCTTTTATAGACACTTCCGCTCCCCCAGTAAATTAGGGAAACAATGAAGGAAATGACAGTTATTTTTATCTGTTGGCTGTAGTAGTATTGTTTTTCAACATATTTTGATGTTTACGTCAAATTCATAGTATTGTGGATGCTGACAGATTTAAATTGCAGGCAAAGGAAGAGGAAGAGTTGCCCGAGTATGTTCTTGGAACCGTTCGGCTAAACCGTGTGAGACTCGATTCAGCAGTAAAATTGGAAAATTGAGGTTTCTCTATTTTACATTTACGAAACTTAACATTCATTCATTGTGAAACGGTCACTTCAGTGAGGTGTTATATTTGGCAGTGTATTCTTCCAATTGTAGTCGATACAAATGATCAAAACCCCTATTTTAATCAACTATGAAATGAGCTATAAAATCTTCATGAAATATTTTAATCTAGTGGTTTGAACTACTAATAGGTTTGTCTTGGCTTACTCGTTGGAGGAACTGTATACTTGCTAGGGAGCACAACAAACACTTTGTTTTAGGTAAAGTGTTCGTGTTAGACACGGATACGTTTTGACACATTACGGTGTCTGAATTTTTTCTAAGAATGAACGTTTATATGTTGATCAATCGTCAAGTATTAGGATGAGATCTTCTTCCTCCGGTCGTACTTGACTTAACTTTATAGGTTTTAATTAAGTATATTTTGTTGTTACATTTACATGTTTTATCATGTATGTGTATACACACCATGTCCATGTCCTACCCTTTTTTAGAAATTGACATCGTGTTCGTGTTCGTGTTCCGTGTCTGTGCTTAATTCTAGTAGTTTAATCCTGGTTTTCATGTTCTTATCTCTTCTAGCTCATTCTGAGGGATCAACATTTCATTCTGTTGATTGAACTATCAGTAAACAAGTCATTCTGTTCGTGTGATTGGTTAAATTCTATTACTTTTTTCTTTTGTTATGATTGGATTGATGGGACTGGCCTCACCTTGCTACTACTGCTGCAAATTATTACTCATTGTTCATCACTGTTCTTCATTGTCTCTCTGCTTTTGGGTTTTGGCCACAGGATTCTCTATTAATCTGTTTTTTTTTTTTTTTTTCCCCATACATATTATAATCATTACAGTGTTGCAGGGCTAATCTTTTCCCTCACAACTATTCTTGCTTTGCTTTATTATCATATTATTGGGTAAACTTTAGGACAATGGTTGATTTAATTTGCATAATGCTTTATCCCTTGTGTTTGATTATTCTTATTGTAAATACATCAGAATTTCTTGTATTTTAAATCAATTTTAAAATTCATATCTAAATTCTTCAAAATATATAAATGAATATTCATTTTAGGGTTAAAACTTTGTTTATAAAATAATTTGTTTTGAGTTTTTACATGCTTAAAAACACTTTTTAAGTATTTATGAAGGCATTCCAAACAGTTTGAAATTATGAGTTCGATTTGATTTACTCTACTCGACGATATACGATACTATGAGTTGGATATCAAATCAATGCAAGCAGCAAAGTTGGTCTTTTTTCCCTGTCAAATTAATCCCTTTTGTCCCTTAAAAGATGTGTTATTTTTTCACCTCTTTTTTTTTTATTTTTATTTTTATTTTTAATATAGTGGAATTATTTCCCTTGGGATTCCCTTTATCCTACCTTCACAACACCTCTTATTATTATAATTATAATTATAATAATAATTATGTAAAATTGGAATTATATTAAATTGGTCACGAGAAATGAGTGAATTTTGGTACATTAAAGGAAAGGAGCTATGGACAAATTTCTCTGTCCTTTGTACTTCAATTTTCATTCCCCATTTTTATTTATTATTCTATTTATTTTTCAACTTTCCAAAATTTTAATTACACTATTTTAAAAGTTTAGGAACTTATTAGTATTTTTTTAAATTTTAGGGACAAAATAGACACATATCTTAAAGGGTTTCATCCCATTTCATTTTCTTTTTTTACCCACCTTCTAAAAAGGTAAAAAGTAAAAAAAAAATTACAAGGGTTTAAATTGCTATTTTTTTAGATTCATCGTTATTATAATCCCAACCACCATAAAAAAAAAAAAAAAGAGTTTAAAGTAATTTTCATTATAATTTATAAGCTTTATTATACATTCTTCATTAAACAAACATGACTTTTTTTTATCTTTAAGTTCAATTTACCAATCCAATCACCTAAATTAGCAACTTTAATTAAAAAGTAAATCAATGAAGAACATTGTAGTTTAAAAAATAAGTGTGACTTATCATCAATAAAGACGGGTTCATATTACTGTTTCGTACGACTATTTGGCATGAATTTGTTTATGTTATATTTATGAACTTTGCGGAAGGTTTGAACCCTAGAGATAGTTTTGAAATTTTTCTCGAGACCACCTAACTAGTTGAGTGCTCTACCTTGAGTCATCAACATTATAGGCTCTACTGAAATAGAATGGGCAGAAAACTAGTTATATCCGATCTAGGTTGGCCTTTTGCCCCTATTTTATCACATACGTGGATTCAATCCTCCAAAGCCTATTAGAAAGGAGTTTTTCCGATATGTATGGGATTTCATGGGGGTATTGTTAAAATTCCAACTCAAACTTCATTAGAAATGGTTATTATTGGATTCTCACCCTTAGAAAGAGAAGGAAAAGAAGAAGATGCTTTCAAATATGCAAAGCTTTATTCCATGCCCAACATCATCTGAACACACAACTCAAGGGACCCCTCTTGCTCTCTAAAAGCAACCCATTAATATTCCCATGTAATCTAAACTCATCACTCCACACTTGCTTCATTCATTTCAATTCTTTTATGGACCTTTCCCCACTCCCCCATGCATTTGATTGAAACTACTACTTGTTTCAATGGAGGATTTTAGATGCCTGGCCTTCAATTTTCTTATGTTTTTCTTGCTTTCTGTAGCGGCTTCGTCCACTGATACTCACTCCAAAGCACTTTTAGCCTTGAAATCTGAATTCATTGATGATTTTGGCAGTTTGAGCGATTGGATTGTGCGTTCTGGACAAAACCCACTTGGGAAAATCCATGGATGTTCTTGGTCAGGAGTCCAATGCGACAAGAACGCCACCATTGTTATCGGAATCGACCTCTCGATGAAGCGGCTTGGCGGGGCGATTTCCGGTGAGCAGTTTCATGTCTTTAAAGAACTTGTTGATCTTAACCTGAGCCACAATTATCTGTCTGGGAAGCTCCCTATTGGAATCTTCAATCTCACTAATCTAAGAACTTTAGACATCAGTAGGAACAATTTTTCTGGTCATTTTCCTGTTGGGATTTTTCATCTTCAAAACTTGACTGTTTGTGATGCATTTAGCAATAGTTTTTCTGGGTCATTGCCTGTTGATCTTCCAAAGCTCGAAAATCTGAAGTTCCTCAACTTAGCTGGTAGCTACTTCACAGGGCCAATCCCTTCAGAATATGGCTCTTTTAAAACCCTTGAGTTCATGAATCTCGCAGGGAATGTTCTTAGTGGAAACATACCCCCTGAATTGGGCAAACTCAAAACTATGATCCACATGGAAATTGGCTACAATAGCTTCCATGGAGGTCTCCCATGGGAGCTCGGCAACATGAGCAACCTTCAATATCTTGATATTGCTAGTGGAAACCTCTCTGGTTCAATCCCTAAAGAACTTAGTAATCTCTCAAATCTGGAATCTCTTTTCCTTTTCAGAAACCATTTCTCTGGGCTGTTGCCTGTAGAACTAAGCAAAATCACCTCTCTGGTTAATTTAGATCTCTCTGATAATCATATTTCTGGTCCTATTCCAGAAAGCTTTTCAGAGATGAAGAATCTTAGATTGCTAAGTCTTATGTATAATGAAATGACTGGTTCTGTTCCAAAGGGTATTGCAGAGCTTCCTTCTTTGGAGACTCTTCTTATATGGAGCAATCAGTTTTCTGGGTCACTCCCAAAAAACTTGGGCAGCAACAAAAAACTTAAATGGCTTGATGTTTCCACGAACAATTTTGTGGGTCATATCCCACTTGATATCTGTCTAGGAGGCTTACTTTTTAAGTTGATCCTGTTTTCAAATAAGTTTAGTGGTGGACTTTCGCCGTCCCTATCTAATTGTTCGTCCCTCGTTCGATTGCGGTTAGAGGATAATCTGTTTTCTGGTGATATATCTCTGAAATTTAGTGATCTTCCTGATATCTCATACATTGATCTCTCTATGAACAATTTTAGTGGAGGATTTCCTCGAGATATAAGCAAATCATCCAATCTTCAATACTTCAATATATCATATAACCCAGAACTTGGAGGTGTTTTTCCTGAAGAAACATGGAGTTTACCTCTTCTTCAAAACTTTTCAGCTTCTGATTGTGGGATAAGTGGAAAACTTCCCAAGTTTCAGCTCTGCAAATCTGTTCTTACTATTGAATTGAATGATAACGATCTGTCGGGAAACGTCCCAGAAAGCATTGCAAGTTGCCATGCTCTTGTAAGGATGGATTTGTCTTACAACAATCTCTCGGGTCGTATACCTGAAGAACTTGCACATCTTCCTTCCATTAGAATCCTTGATCTATCCCACAATGATTTCAATGGATCGATACCCGATAAGTTCAGGGATTCATCGAGTTTGCTGCTACTAAACGTGTCTTCCAATGATATCTCTGGTTCCATCCCCGAAAACAAAGTGTTTTGGTCCATGGGTAGCAGTGCATTTGCTGAAAATCCAAAGCTATGTGGAGCACCTCTGGAACCTTGTTCAGGGCCATTGGCAATATTTGTAGGTAAAGAGATGGGGAAGCTTGAACTTATACTGATACTGTGTGCTGGTCTTGCTATAATCACTACGATATTGATAGCGTGGATTTTCTTCGCTCGAAAACGGAGCAAAGGAAAATGGAAGATGGTGTGTTTCACTGGACTTCCTCCATTCACAGCGAGTGATATTCTCAGGAGTTTTGACTCGACAGAATCTAAGGAAACGATAACGCCATTGTCTGCTTCGATTTTCAAAGCAGTTCTTCCTACTGGAATCGCCGTGTCGATCAAGAAGATAGATTGGGAAGAACAAAGAATTAGGATGATATCTGAGTTTATAACTCAATTAGGTAGTTTAAGGCACAAGAATTTGGTCAGATTGCTGGGATTTTGCCACAATAAACAGATGGTTTATGTTTTGTATGAATACTTACCCAATGGAAATCTAGCAGAGAAAATTTCAATGAAAAGGGAATGGCTAACTAAGCTCAAACTCATTAAAGGTATAGCAAGAGGGCTTCACTTTCTTCACCATGACTGTTATCCTGCAATTCCCCATGGAGACCTGAAGTCGAGTAACGTCATACTCGACGAAAATATGGAGCCCCATCTGGCTGAATTCGGTCTCCGGTGTCTACAACAGCTAAACGAAGATCGGCTTCCGTTTTCGTCTACAACAAAAGGAGGTATAATGAACAATACACATTTCTTGAAGCATAAACATTTTCCAAAGTGTAGTGATTCTGATATGTTATCATCTTGGACAGGTGAATTCAATAATGCAACAGAGGAGGAGCTTTGGATGGATGTTCATAGTTTTGGGGCAATCGTCCTGGAAATTATAAGCAACGGTCGGTTGACGAGCGCTGGATCGAGCACACAGAACAAGGCAAGAGATCTTCTGTTAAGAGAAATATACAAAGAAAATGGGATCAGCTCTCCCAATTCATCACAAGAGGAGGTAAAACAGGTGCTTGATCTAGCTTTGCTATGCACTAGGAGCAGGCCATCCAATAGACCATCCATGGAAGATGTGTTGAAGCTGCTATCAGAAATAAAACCAGAGGTAAAATCATAAGACTTTGAAGAAAACCAAGAACAGTATAGATTGTAAGCTTTAAGTAGTAATCTTATAGATTTTTCTGTGCAGTTGATAGATTTTTAGTAGGGTTGTTGGTGATGTTTTTCTATCCTAAAAATGCTCCAAATTCAAGTTCTTCTGTGAGTTGTCCTATCTTATATTCTCGAGAGCCTACGAATTTGCTTTTAGACCATTGGAAACGTCTCGTATCAATAACTATGTAGAAGTCTAGTCTCCGAACTTTCTAAGTTTGTGTCTGAAAGTCTCTGAACTTTAAACAACGTATAGTAGGTCACATAACTTTTCACTTTTTTGTTCATGCCACGGGGATTAGATTTGCAAGGTCACATCGCATGCATGGCTACTTTGCTTGAAACACTACGGTCGATGATGACATTTACAGTCTGGGAAGTGATTCCACATCATACCCAACTGATAAAAATATTGTGTGGACCTTTGTCGATCGACCCAAGTTGACCTAATCCCTAACCATTACATCATTTTATGTGTATCATAAAGCATATAAGATTGTAAATTGCATAACTAAATCACCTATTCTACTACTTATCGTTTAATTTTACATGATATTTAGTAAAGCATCAAAATCGGACTTACATGCATATCTTAATCTAGGGCAGGGGTGTAGACGATAATGGGGAGGGAGTGAGGAACATTTTTTTTTCATTAGATATACAGGGTCGGAAACGAGATTATATTCCTCGTCCTCGCCTCTACCCAATTCCCTACCTCATCCGTACCCGCCCTACCCGTTATAATTTTGAAAACAATAACTTAAAAATTTTAAAGACATAACAAAATTATATTAATTTAAAAAAAATTATAAGGGGACTTTAAATTTCACACGATAGAACTAAATAAAAACAAAAAGAGTTGGATAGAACTTGCCAACTGTGTAATTTTCGCACATTTTAAAGAGGTGCATTGGACATTTATAAAATAAAATAGATGGATGGCTAATAAGACAAAACAAAGTTAGATATATATATAGCATTTATTATTGTTGAATCCCATTTACAAATCTCAAAGACATTAATAATTAAATAAATACTTGACAACGAGTTCGTACCAGGTGTCAACGAGTTCATACCAGGTGATGAATTGGAATTATATTTTAACGTGAAATGTCACGGGATCAGCGTCCTCGTTGGTACACTGCCCAATGGTGTGGCTCTTATAGCATTTGTAAAAAGTCAAACAACGTCTTCGCTGGCACACCGCCCGAATACCATTTGTAACAGCTTAAACCCACCGCCAGCCGATATGATATTATCTGCTTTAGCCTATTACGTATCGTCATCAGTAATTTGTACGCACGCACGTACGTATAAAGAAAATGTTTTGTTCTCCTCTCCAACTAATATTTGATCTGATTAACAGTGATATTATATTAAAATAAGAGTAAAGAGAGGGAAAAGTATATATTATACCCAAAATAAAAATGTGATGGAATCCTAATTGAATATGAGAATGATTTTGAGTGCAACGCGACAAAAGAGAGTTAGATAGAATAGAAAAAGTAGGAATTGGGTGAGGGTTTTAAATATTACTCTCTGACTTATCCACAAAATGCAATACATATTTGAGGGATTATTATAGAATAATTAATGTTGAAGATTGAGATCTGAGAGTATTATAAATATGGGATTGGGATGCCATTGTTTTACAACAAACCATCAAACCACGTTGTTGTTGATTCATATCATAAGAAGAGGAAGAATTTAACAAAAAAACAGAGCAGCCTTTTTGTGGATTGCAATGGCGGAGTTTGCGAATGTCACCGAGTTTGTGAATGCTGGGTACTGGCTTGCGAGCACCGACGGCACGCTCCCGGCTGCCAACATCGACGCTACACTCTTCACCCATCTCTTCGCTGGCTACGCTCAACTCAACTCCGACACTTACCAAGTCACCGTTGATCCTTCACAGCTCATCCTCATCGATCAGTTTTCTTCCACCGTCAAACTCAGTAACCCTGACGTCAAGACTCTGTTGTCCATTGCAGGAGACGCCGCCGTGTTCGCCGCAATGGCTGCAGACCCTACAAACCGCGATGCCTTCATCAAGTCCTCCATTGCTGCAGCCAGAGGCGGTGGGTTCGATGGCCTCGACCTCCAGTGGCTATACCCTTCTTCTCAGGACCAAATGGCCAACTTCAAAACTTTGATCCATTCGTGGCACCAAGCGGTGGTGGATGATGCCACCAGTGTAAGCCTCCCGCAGCTGCTCCTGGTGGCCACGGTCTCCAATCTTCCGTATCTTCAGAACAACATTCAATACCCAGCTGATGCAATCACCCAAAAGCTGGACTGGGTGAACCTCCTCTCTTATGACTTTTACACCCCTGACTCCTTCAGGGCTGCCACCGGGCCATCCTCTGCCTTCCACAATCCGAAGGCCAATGCCCTTTCAGCTAATTTTGGGATCAGGTCGTGGGCGCAGAGCCTCCACAATCTGTCTCACAAGAAAATTGTGTTTGGAATTCCGTTCCATGGGTGGGCTTGGAAACTCGCCAACTCTCACCAGCACGCCCTGTTTGCTAAAGCGGATGGAGCGGCCAGCGGAGAATACATTGGTCCACACGGCCAAATCTTCTACTCCGATGTGCAGAAATTTATAGAGGACAATCAGGCTGGTGTTGAGGACAAGGACAAGAGCTATCTTGTTGCCTACGCTTATTATGAGACAACCTGGATTACCTTCGAAAGTGAATACACCGTTGCCGACAAGATTGCACTCGCAAAGGCCGACAAGGTGCTTGGTTACTTTGCTTTCAACATTGCAGCCGATGACGCTTCTAACACTCTTGCTAATGCCGCCAAATCCAATTGGTGATATCTTATTGTTGAAGCCTCCAATAAGAGCTATGCTCATGCTGCTCTGTTCTCTATGTCTCTGTCTTTTTTATTATGTTGTACCTTGTGTGGTGTTCAAGGTTTGAGGTCTTATCTTCAGCCATCCAATAAAGTTTGTGGCGTATTCCTTCCTACCAACATCCTCGCTCTCTTCTCCATTCATTTCTCTGAGTATTCCATCACTTCTCTCTCTCTCACTCCCTTTTAGGAATGTTGTGTTGAAGGTGCATGCATGTGATATAAGACCTATCCGAGGAGGAGGAAAATGTAGGTAGGACGTGACTCGAGTATTTTATGAAATAATCCGTGAGCAACTCCACTGTTGCGGTTAGATACGACCTGCATACTATTATGGCGAACATATTCATGCTTTTACGACATAGAGGGGAAGTATCCTGATGATCCAGACGACATACAAATATGCATGAGGTCCCATAACTTATATTACATGCCATATTAAGTTCATCACTTTCCTGATATATAATACTAACACATCAAGCATAACTTTTCATAACATGACCGGTCAACATAATTCATGCATCACATAAAATATGATGCACGTACGGGCCACAGGTCACGCACCATCATACAACACACATAATAAGCTAACTCCAACGGTAAAGTCAGTTATCTCGATGGCCCTGGCCGAAGTTACTCAAAATGAGCTAATTCCAACGGCTAACTACGTCCTCAAAAGGCAAAAACAAGGGCAGAAACGGCTTTGGGAGGGCCAAAAAACTTGGAAATCGATATATTAAGAGTATACCGAGTCGATAAGCCGAGCTGCCGCCGACAAGCCGAGAAAATTGATGCAGCCGAGCCAACTTCGTGCACATGCAAGCCGAGCCGCAACTGTGTACGCGTGCGAAGTCGAAACTGGAGCTACGATGTTGGGCCGAACGTGCACGCGGCCAGCGTTCTCGCCTGGGATGTGGGCTGGAGTGGGGATTGAAACAACAGGCTATCGAGTCGCAGGTATACGAGGAGACCCGACCCGAATCCAACAACTTGTCTTCCTTACCCGAAAAACAACGAAACCCTAATTGATCTGCCTCCCCAATTTTCAACGACGCGCCGCAGTCTCCTCCGCTTCAAACGATTACGTAGCGTCCTCGACGCCGATTTCCGACGAGCACACAACGACGTTGATACCTTACTTCCACTCAACTCTTTCTCCGAAATAGCGACTCTAACGTTTCGAGAATCATACAAGGCATATTAAATTACCTAACTAAGTCACATAGTATTCAAAAAATCATGAAAATCAGGTGTAAATGCATGCTTCAAACAATCATCATGCTTACAATAATCAATTTCAGTCAATTCCGTTCCAATTCCATTGTTGCCGTCGTTGAACGATCGTACGGTTGATGTTTTTTTTTTTTTTTTTCTTGGATGCAATACTGAATCGATTGAGGAGGAGAACAAACCATTCTTTATAAGGAAAAATCAAAAGGGGACAATATAAGCTAGTTGTGAGCTTGAGCTGTTACAAATGGTATTAAAGCGAGACACTGGGCAATGTGCAAGTGATGAGACTGAGCCCTGAAGGAGAGTGGACATGAGGAAGTATGCCAGCAAGAACGCTGGTCCCCGAAGGGGGTGGATTGGGGGGGGAGGGGGGCGGTCCCAAATTGATTGGAGAAAGGAACGAGTGCCAGTTTGGAACCACAAAATCATAGTCTCTTGGGTGACCTTCAGTTGGGAGGAATTGGTATAAGTATATTTCCCTACACATGACTACATAGTGTACGTATCCATATTCATCATAGTCAAAACGAACAATATCTGTTAGCAGCAAGCTTGAACTTTACATTAACATCTCCTACTATAAAAGATACAAATTTTGATCATAACTCAGCTCTTTCACCACGTGCTTTCAATGATCGGTAAAAGGACCAATAATACCCTTTTAAAAAATGTAAAAAAAAAATTAGAACCTATTTGTGATCGAAAATATAAGTCCAATTCATCACCTGGTATGAACGAGTATTTATTTAATTGTGTACATGTATGCTTATTACCTGAAAATGGATATAATTTTTTAATGGGTTTGAATTTTGTTAATGGGATTGAACAATAATAAATACCATATATATCTAACTTTGTTTTGTCTTATTAGCTGGTCCACCTATTTTATTTTATAAATGTCCAATCGCAACTCCGTTTTGTCTCTATATGGTACGTGTTAGAGTTATATCCATATTTAAGAATCGTGTGAGATTTAAAGTCACCTTATAATTATTTTTAAATTAATATAATTTTTTTATATGTCTTTTTTAAGATATTGTTTCAAAAAATTAATATAATTTGCTTCTTCGTCCCCATTTTTGAAAAATTTTCTATTTATTTATATATATATATATATATTTTAGAAATCGAGCCAAAAATTCCCCATTGGAAGGTTTCGCATGTGTAATTTTTTCCGTTCGTTATTCTTTTTTAAAAAATAAAATATAATCTTAAATAAATAAATAAAAAATACTAACGGAGCAACCATATATAATAATTCTTAAAATTCAAATTTTAATATTACAACATATTATTTAATGATTAAAAAAAATTACAACATAATCTTTAGTTTAAATATTACAATTAGAACATAAATAATAACTAATTAATTTAGATGGGGTGGGGACGAATGAGGCGGGAAATTGGGCAGTAACGTGGATGAGGAATATAATTTCATCCCCGACCCCATATATCTAACAAAACAAAAAAATGTTCCTCACTCCCTCCCTATTCCCCGTTTAAATGAGGAATCACCTCCCTGCTCTAGTTTAGGGCAAGTCTATGACTCCGTGGGTAAAATGGATATCTCTCCATTAAACTATGCAAGTAAGTCTGATTTTGATGATTTACTAAATATAATGTGAAATTAGACAATAAGTAGAATAGGTGATTTAGTTATGCAATTTACTATAACTTAAATGTTTTAAGATACAACAAAAAATGATGTAATTATGCTACTATATGGAGATGGTTAGGGATTAGGTCAACTTTTGTTCGATCGACAAAGGATCACTTCCCTACTATTATTGTACAATGTGGGAACCTTCGTTAGGTGTTGTAGACACCGGAGACCGAATTCAGCCAGATGGGGCTCCATATTTTCGTCGAGTATGACGTTACTCGACTTCAGGCCTCCATGGGGAATTGCAGGATAACAGTCATGGTGAAGAAAGTGCAGCCCTCTTGCTATACCTTTAACGAGTTTGAGCTTAGTTAGCCATTCCCTTTTCATTGAAATTTTCTCTGCTAGATTTCCATTGGGTAAGTATTCATACAAAACATAAACCATCTGTTTATAGCAAGACCTATCAGGATAAGTTCAAGCTTCCCCATCCCTTTGCCAACAAACATTGCCAATGGACCTGAACAAGGTTCCAGAGATGCTCCACATAGCTTTGGATTTCCAGCAAATGCACTGCTAACCATGAACCAAAACACTTTGTTTCCCGGGATGGAACCAGAGATATCATTGGAAACGCACACTATGATGATGAGATCACCATCATGCTTGGCATGATACATGATGGTCGCTGTACCTCTGGACGTCTGGCTACAACCAACTGGCCCGACCAGCAAGCCCATGGGGTGTGTCAGCTCGCCTTGTGGACCCATGCTCATATGTGTAGGTCGTGTGTAGGGAAATACTACACATACCAATTTCTCCAAAGGCCACCTAAGGGACTATGATTTTAAATAATATGCCCCTATTTTTTATTGCATATGTGTGCATTCCTCTGAAAATTTTCCTCAGATGCATGTGAGTGAGAACAAAATATGTTCAAAGTGCTCGTGTTGGTTTGTGGGAATAGTATTTACTCTTAAGAAGCGAGTAGTAGACAGTACGACTATGTCGTAGAGCAATGGTGAGGTTATCAAACACTTAATTCTTTTTTTGAGTTCAATTATTTACTGGTACACGATCAAACTATCCCCTTTTAGAATAATAAAAATCATTAAGCAATGTTTGGATAGACGATTATTGACTATAAATAGTGAAATAGAACACAGTTCTAGAAGGCGTGTTTCTCTTTAATTCGAGATGATTTTTCGGGTTTTCCTCGGCAGCAAATTTGATCCATTGATCTAAACCCGACGCATCAACGACCTTAATAACAAATAGAAAGAAAATTACTTTAAGCAACAACAAAAGCCTTGGCCTTTTTTCCACTCTCTTGAAGCTAGCTTAGCAAGAGAATGATGTTCATCATCAGCTGCAATGTTCCAAACAAAGTAACCATTCAATCCCAAGTTGGTTTTAACTCTTGAAATCTTGAACTTTATGGTGTCTTCATCTTCGTAGGCGATCCAAGTTGAGCCAAAGTTTGTGTAGCCAATTACAAAGCTGCGGTCCATTGGAACATTATTGGCATCGTTATCAGCTATAAATTTCTTAATGTTCCTATACTCTATGAGTCCTTCCATCGAAATATTTTGCCCTCCAGCTGGCCCTTGCGCTGGTGAAAACACATTGTGTTTCTTAGAACTCTCAAGTTTCCATGCCCATCCATGGAAGGGAAGTCCAAATACCATCATTTTAGAAGGCAAACCTTGCTGAATCCACGTTCTAATACCTGAAATTCAACACAAATAGTTAACCATATCAATTTGGTTACTAATGATTTGGAATCCTCAACGGTTGGTTGGTTGGTTGGTTGAGCATACGTCTAAGTAGAGATGTCGTATTCGAAGAAAAGACATGGGATTGGTGCAACGTTGGCGATAACAAACCGACGGCTTAAGAGTTCACTATCCTCAAACAAAAAGGAGAGGCATTATGTATGTTCAAGAAGTTCAAAAGACTCGTTGAAAACAGGTTTGATCACAAGTTGAAAACCTTGCCCACCAACCAAGGCGGCAAGTACCCTCTACCACAGCAATAAACAGAATTAAAAAGCATAAGCACTTAAGGTTCTTCTCTCCCCTCAAGTAGTTCTTTCTGCTTTAATTGTTTGTTTCTTCGATCGTAGGCGAAATCCAACATTCAGTTGTAACGACTCATGTTTAGGATTCAGATTAGGATATTAAGCACTGGATGGCCTAGACATTCCCGGTGAACTTATCACGTTACTTATTCCTTACTTTTAAGAGTAAAAACTTACCCCCACTGATCAACACATGCTCTTTCGACATGCTTTATGCTCATTTACTTGCTTCCTAGAGATCACCCAATATAGAGATGTTCTAAGCAAAACCCACTTGGAAATTCCTATTATAAGTACCGAAACGTAATCAAACTCGAACAATAGGCATAATTTGATATTTCAAAACATACCGAAGTAACCCGACGAGGAGTTTCTCTCTGGATTATAAAACGCTGAGGAAGGTCCAGTTTCATTGGGGGAGGAAGTAGGAGTGTAAATATCAAAAGCAATCACATTAACCCAATCCAAAGCTCTCCGGATTACTTGAATTGGATATCGAACATCATGTATATAAGGCGAGTAAAACACCGTAGCAACAAGGATCAATCGTGGGTGACGAGACTCCTTAGCTTCTTTGACAACACCATTATGACACTCAATGATGAGAGCTTCAAAATTGGACATGTCCTCCACGCAAGAAGGGTACACCCACTGAACATCCACCCCATCAAAGTTACCCTCTCTTGCCTTACAAATGAAGCTTCCAATAAAAGATGCACGATTTGATGAACTGGCCGCCATGGCTGCAAAGCTATCAGCACTCGCATGGTCTCCTCCAATGGACAGCAAGGTCTTCACCTTCGAGTTGTTTTCCTTGACAGCGTTAGAAAAGTGATGAATAAGGGGCTTTGCTGTATCTGAGAAGGAGAGTTCGTAGGTTTGGGAGTTGAGATTAGCATAGCCACAGAAGAGATGGGTGTAGAGATTGGAATCAATTTTGGAAATGGGAAAGTGGGCGTTGGTTTGGGTGAACCAATAGCCTGCATTTACAATGTTATTTTTGGCCATTTGGAGAAACAACTCAGAGGGGAAAACGCAGAGATTCAAATGAATCATCTTATCACGACTTTATAAGAACTAAACTACCAATTTTCAAACTCAAAAGAATGTTATCTATCTAACTTTGTTTTGTCTCTATATGTATATTTTATGTGTTTGGATTCTATTTGAAGTCCTTGGAACTATTTTTAGTTTAATATAGTTTTGGATCCGTCTTTTTCAAGTTATTATTTTCAAAATTATTAGGGTAGCAGTTTTATTATTTACCATATTTGAACATAGCACGTAGGTAAGAGTAAGTCTTTCTCGAGGACGCTACGTAATCGTTTGAAGCGGAGGAGACTGCGGCGCGTCGTTGAAAATCGGGGAGGCAGATCAATTAGGGTTTCGTTGTTTTTCGGGTAAGGAAGACAAGTTGTTGGATTCGGGTCGGGTCTCCTCGTATACCCGCGACCCGATAGCCTGTTGTTTCAATCCCCACTCTAGCCCACATCCCAGGCGAGAACGCTGGCCGCGTGCACGTTCGGCCCAACATCGTAGCTCCAGTTTCGACTTCGCACGCGTACACAGTTGCGGCTCGGCTTGCATGTGCACGAAGTTGGCTCGGCTGCATCAATTTTCTCGGCTTGTCGGCGGCAGCTCGGCTTATCGACTCGGTATACTCTTAATATATCGATTTCCAAGTTTTTTGGCCCTCCCAAAGCCGTTTCTGCCCTTGTTTTTGCCTTTTGAGGACGTAGTTAGCCGTTGGAATTAGCTCATTTTGAGTAACTTCGGCCAGGGCCATCGAGATAACTGACTTTACCGTTGGAGTTAGCTTATTATGTGTGTTGTATGATGGTGCGTGACCTGTGGCCCGTACGTGCATCATATTTTATGTGATGCATGAATTATGTTGACCGGTCATGTTATGAAAAGTTATGCTTGATGTGTTAGTATTATATGTCAGGAAAGTGATGAAATTAATATGGCATGTAATATAAGTTATGGGACCTCATGCATATTTGTATGTCATCTGGATCATCAGGATAGTTCCCCTCTATGTCGTAATAGCATGAATATGTTCGCCATAATAGTATGCAGGTCGTATCTAACCGCAACAGTGGAGTTGCTCACTGATTATTTCATAAAATACTCGAGTCACGTCCTACCTACATTTTCCTCCTCCTCCGATAGGTCTTATATCACATGCATGCACCTTCAACACAACATTCCTAAAAGGGAGTGAGAGAGAGAGAGAGAAGTGAATGGAGAAGAGAGCGAGGATGTTGGTAGGAAGGAATACGCCACAAACTTTATTGAATGGTTGAAGATAAGACCTCAAACCTTGAACACCACACAAGGTACAACATAATAAAAAAGACAGAGACATAGAGAACAGAGCAGCATGAGCATAGCTCTTATTGGAGGCTTCAACAATAAGATATCACCAATTGGATTTGGCGGCATTAGCAAGAGTGTTAGAAGCGTCATCGGCTGCAATGTTGAAAGCAAAGTAACCAAGCACCTTGTCGGCCTTTGCGAGTGCAATCTTGTCGGCAACGGTGTATTCACTTTCGAAGGTAATCCAGGTTGTCTCATAATAAGCGTAGGCAACAAGATAGCTCTTGTCCTTGTCCTCAACACCAGCCTGATTGTCCTCTATAAATTTCTGCACATCGGAGTAGAAGATTTGGCCGTGTGGACCAATGTATTCTCCGCTGGCCGCTCCATCCGCTTTAGCAAACAGGGCGTGCTGGTGAGAGTTGGCGAGTTTCCAAGCCCACCCATGGAACGGAATTCCAAACACAATTTTCTTGTGAGACAGATTGTTGAGGCTCTGCGCCCACGACCTGATCCCAAAATTAGCTGAAAGGGCATTGGCCTTCGGATTGTGGAAGGCAGAGGATGGCCCGGTGGCATCCCTGAAGGAGTCAGGGGTGTAAAAGTCATAAGAGAGGAGGTTCACCCAGTCCAGATTTTGGGTGATTGCATCAGCTGGGTATTGAATGTTGTTCTGAAGATACGGAAGATTGGAGACCGTGGCCACCAGGAGCAGCTGCGGGAGGCTTACACTGGTGGCATCATCCACCACCGCTTGGTGCCACGACTGGATCAAAGTTTTGAAGTTGGCCATTTGGTCCTGAGAAGAAGGGTATAGCCACTGGAGGTCGAGGCCATCGAACCCACCGCCTCTGGCTGCAGCAATGGAGGACTTGATGAAGGCATCGCGGTTTGTAGGGTCTACAGCCATTGCGGCGAACACGGCGGCGTCTCCTGCAATGGACAACAGAGTCTTGACGCCAGGGTTACTGAGTTTGACGGTGGAAGAAAACTGATCGATGAGGATGAGCTGTGAAGGATCAACGGTGACTTGGTAAGTGTCGGAGTTGAGTTGAGCGTAGCCAGCGAAGAGATGGGTGAAGAGTGTAGCGTCGATGTTGGCAGCCGGGAGCGTGCCGTCGGTGCTCGCAAGCCAGTACCCAGCATTCACAAACTCGGTGACATTCGCAAACTCCGCCATTGCAATCCACAAAAAGGCTGCTCTGTTTTTTTGTTAAATTCTTCCTCTTCTTATGATATGAATCAACAACAACGTGGTTTGATGGTTTGTTGTAAAACAATGGCATCCCAATCCCATATTTATAATACTCTCAGATCTCAATCTTCAACATTAATTATTCTATAATAATCCCTCAAATATGTATTGCATTTTGTGGATAAGTCAGAGAGTAATATTTAAAACCCTCACCCAATTCCTATTTTTTCTATTCTATCTAACTCTCTTTTGTCGCGTTGCACTCAAAATCATTCTCACATTCAATTAGGATTCCATCACATTTTTATTTTGGGTATAATATATACTTTTCCCTCTCTTTACTCTTATTTTAATATAATATCACTGTTAATGAGATCAAATATTAGTTGGAGAGGAGAACAAAACATTTTCTTTATACGTGCGTACAAATTTCTGATGACGATACGTAATAGGCTAAAGCAGATAATATCGGCTGGCGGTGGGTTTAAGCTGTTACAAATGGTATTCGGGCGGTGTGCCAGCGAAGACGTTGTTTGAGTTTTTACAAATGCTATAAGAGCCACGCCATTGGGCAGTGTACCAACGAGGACGCTGACCCCGTGACATTTCACGTCAAAAATATAATTCCAATTCTTCACCTGGTATGAACAACAAATCATCATCACTCAAATATTTATTTCGATTATACTAATTTTTCTATCTAACTCCCTTTTGTCTTATCCAAATCCCAGCAATCTCCTTAAAAAAAAAATAATAATAATTGGTTAGTATAAATAGTAACTTTCAATTATTTGAAGTATTTGTTATTCATCTTATCTTCAAGATTTGTAACGACACAAGCCCACCCTAGAATATATTGTCTTATTTGGACTTTTTTTCTAAAGGGGAGAGATTTTCACACCCTTATATTTATATTCCCTTATGGGCTTCCCCTCCAAGTTTTTAAAATTCGTCTACTGCTCACAGATTTCCACACCCTTATAAAATGTGGTTTGTTCTCCTCCCCAATCGATGTGAGATCTCACACGATTGCTCTCATTCGAATCTTGTCTCGGTTCATTCATATATCATTCGTTTACTCAAGTGTCAAAATTATATCAAACTACAAAGGCTAAAATGTCAAATCTGAAAAATTCATTCTTCTAAGAATTTTTAATCTCAATACTAAACTGTCGTGCATATATCAATTCAATTGTATTATTGAACTACCTAACGGGCTATCTAAAGTGACGTGAAACTAAGTGAGTCCATGATCTTTCACCGAATATGAAAATGTCAACACGCTATTCACGTCGATGTCAAATTCATTGACAAATGAAAACTTGTGGATAAGTTAGACTAATATTTAAAATCCTCACCCAATTCCTATTTTTTCTAAACTACTTCTATCTAACTTTCTTTTGTCAGGTTGCCCTCAAAATTATTCTAATATTGAATTAAAGTTCCATCCATTTTTTTAAGCCTTATTTTATAATGGGTATAATATATACTTTTCCTACTTTAGTCTTATTTTAATATCACTATTATCTTACAAACCTCCGGTAAGATCTCACATTAGTTAGAGAGGGGGAGGAAACATTCTTTATAAGAGTGTGAAAACCTCTTCTTAGTAAACGCATTTAAAAACGGTGAAGCTAACAACTATACGTAATGGGCAAAAACAGACAATATTTGATAGTGGTGGGTTTGGGCTATTACAAATGCTATTAGAGCTAGGCATCGGGCGGTGTGCCAACGAGGACGTTGTTTGTATTGTTACAAATGCTATAAGAGCCAGACATCGGGCAGTATACCAACGAGGACGCTGGGCCCCCGTGAGATCCCACATCTGTTGGAGAGAAGAATGGAGCATTTCTTACAAGGGTGTAGGCTCAGACTTTTACATTAACATCTCCCACTATGAAATATACAAATTTTGATGATAACTCAGTTTTTTCCCCAGGTGCTTTGAATGATGTGTCTGCATATATGCTTACTCCATATAATTTTTTAATGGATTTGAAATTTGCAAAGGGACAGAGCAATAATAAATACATATCTAACCTTGTTTTGTCTTACTAGCTGTCCATCTATTCTTAAAAATGTTCGAAAATGACATAGGTTTTATCTGATTTGGTTTTGTCTGTGTATATTATATGTGTTGGAGTTCTACCCATATCTAGAAATGCATATACTCAGATTGAAAAAACCGGGCAGATTTTGATCGTAAATCAGATTTTTAAACTAAGTGCTTTCCCGAGAGGAAACTATGTTAACAAGAGAAAAATAAAATTATAAAAGAGTGAGGTTAGTGAAAGTTCGGAGAATAGCTTCAAAAATGTTAACTATAGCAATGGTTCGTTTAGGCGTATATCCACTGTTATTTAAAGCAGACAGCAAGCTGAAAATGGCCAATATGGCTACCACCAGATTTTACTAACATCACTTACAGGGAACCAAACTGGTGCCAAAATTTAGAACAACAACATAGTTTTTTTCTATTCGAGAGGAGACGATCACACATAT